CAGAGCTACTTTATTTAGAAGACGAAAAGGAACAATTTCTGTCAGGGTACTTAGTAACTTCCATTCTTGATACAAACTAAGAGTATCATTGCCTAAGACTGAAACTGCTCTAACCAATAAACTCATTATCTTAACTGGAGCATGCCATTTACCAGAAAACAAAACAGCTAATGTTTATACAGATTGTAGCAATGGATTTGGAGTGGTGCATGACATCCTATAAACTATTTCTGACTTCCTCTGACCAGCCTATTGAAAATAGTCAACAAATCTCACTTCCTAGATCCCAACCATCTGCCCAAATAATTACCCATTATTAAAATCTCAGGACATTCTAAGACAACAAAGAAGTAATGCTCAGGCTGGTAGAGCTGCAAAAAGGGCTTCACTATACACAACCACACAGGAAAGGGAAAGAGCCCATCCGGTTCACAATGACCACCCTACTCTGAACTCCTCCTTTAGACTCAGCAGATGGCACCACTCACTGCGAGAAGAAACCCTGGCACCAGAAGGTTATTATCCACAAATAGAGTTACCATGTCGTAGATATTGAACACCAATCCCTTCTAAAATTACAGCTAGCCACTCCACATGGGGTTAGCTACAGAGTCAAACTGGATACAAGACTGACTGGAATTAAAAGATAATGAGCGATTTCAAGTGTTCCAAACATCAAATAAAATGTTCCTTGAAGTATCAATGAGTGTAGACAGAAGAACATAAAATTAGTCTAATTAAGGCTGCTACCTTCAGTTCATGAAGCTCAACTGATGATTCCTATTACATATCACATGTGATATAGTATATAGAATTCCTATTATATAATCATATAATATAGTATATAGCATTTCTATTACATACCACATGTATTATTATGTCAGTTACAGAGGACAAAAATGCAGCTCAGATAATAAGGCTAATAGATTTGATATGATCCAGGAATTTCTTCCTTAATGACTTCATCTGACATACCTTCCTTTCTTTTTCCTTTTTTTTTTGAGACAGGTTCTCTCTACATAGCCCTGGCTGTCCTGGAACTCACTATGTAGACCACCCTGACTTGAACTCACAGGGATCCCTGCTTCTGCCTTCAGAGTGATGTGACTAAAGGCTATGCCACCATGCCTAGCCATTCCTTTTTAAGATTTTTTTTTCTTTTTCTTTTTGCCTACTCAGCCTCATCTAGATCAGAAGCTAGGAATGAGCATCCTAGTGGTGGGAGACATTAAACACTTGATATCTGACACTTGCCATGTGTACAAAGCGGGGGCCGTGGACAAGGTTCCAGAAAAGAAGCTGTGACCACGGAGGCAGACTGACTACGACTTCAATGATGAGGAGAGGGCGGAATGCCGCAGGTCAGAGCCACGTAATCTTGGCTAGCGTCAGCCCTTTTATGCCACTAATTGCCCATCGCTGTATATGACCTAACACCCTTGTGGCTATGAGGTAAATCCTTGGGAATGCTTGGACAGATTCCTAGCTCCTATTAGCCGCAAAGCTAAGAATGCTGCCGGCAGTATCTGAAGCCTGTCTCAGAGATCTCCCCCACTGCTGAACCCGCCTGAGGATCTCCTCATCCATGTAGCGGGAACGTGTGACTTGTACTTTTCCTTACTCTTGTTACTTCATGAAACTGATGCCACATTAGAACCCAACAGGAGCAGCCCAAACCTGTGTTCCTGGGCCACAGTCACTGGTTTTGGCTGCAGAATAAACCACCTGCTTACTCCAAGGTGAGGGCTGTTTCTGTACTGACTCCATCTTCATTGCTGACCCAGTATGGATGTCCACAAGTTGTAACAAGAAAGCTTGCTGTTTTCTCAGCTAGAAGGGGACAACCCTCTGGACGGCTGGTACTTGAATTCAAGCGAGGGAAGACAGAGGCTGAGAGCAAAATGGACAGACCTACATGGAATAGGGAAGTGGGTGGGATAAAGAACAAGACCCACGTAGGGGGGCAGTGGGCGGGGTAATGGCCAAGAGCTACCTACAGAAGGACTGCATCTGGGAAGGAGCTGTGCTCCCCTCGGAGGCACAACCAAGCCTGCACAAGCATTTTAGATTTAGGAGAGATAGTAATGGTGGAGCTCAGAACATACTACACCAAAGTATAGCACTGCACCGTGGAGAATTTCTCCTGGAGAGGGTCATGAAACCCAGGGTCTCCTGTCTTCTTCCTAAATGTGGGACACGAGGCGCTCAAGTGGGAAGGGACCACTGTCTGAAAAGGTGGCAGGGCGCAGAGACAAATGCAAATGAATTGCCTTGCCTGCTTCCCTATCATCTTTTCTCGGGGTCTTTCTTCAGGAAATCTAATGTTTAACTGTTTCTTTGGGTTTTCATTTCCTCATGAAAGTTCCCATGTCACATAAAGCATGCATTGGTATGCTGTGTAAAACCAAGAACCTTTCAGGGCAGAGATGTACATTTTCCTCCCTTATAAGTCACAGAAGGAGGAAAACAAGGAGGGGTGATTAAAATCTACTTCATTGCATGCCCCCTTCTGTGTGGGCCAAAAGCATTGTCTGCTACTACCTAGAGTAGACTTTCTCAAGAGTTTTGATGGAATCCCAAGTGGCTTCCCACTGTGACTCACGCTGTTGTAACCTATTTACAGGCCGCACGTGGAGGGTGGAGCAGGGGCTCAGCAGTTAAGAGTGCTAGGGGCTTTTCCAGAGGACTTAAGTTCGCTACCAGCACTTAAAGTCTCTGTAGTCTCCATGTTGTCCTGGCTGGCCTGGAAATCACTATGTAGATAAAGCTGGCCTCAAACTCATCGATATCATTCTGCCTCTGTCTCCTGGGTGTTATGCTGGATTAAAGGCATAAAGCATACCCAGCTCCAATTTTAAAACCTAACAGCTAAAGACTATGCTACTTCCAGACTTAATCAAATTAACACACCTTGTCTGTGGCTTAAGCCAATTTGAAATTGATTTTCTCTTTTCAGTGATCTTATGGAACCCTGAAGAAAGCACAGAAGGATGCTGAATGAAGTCCCCCTCAGATGTAAGTATAGTTGCTACTGTTTTTTCTGAATTCAGTCTGTACTGGGACAAATGCTGCCTTCTGTAATTTACAAAAGGAAGCTAAAACAACAGAAGAACCATCCATTTCCCACCCTCTCTGCCATTTCAACACAATTGGATAAAGACTTACATTATTATGATGAGCTTTTAACAGGACTCTATTTATAAACTTAAGGCCATTTTAAGTTAAAATGATAAATTCACAGAAACCAAAGCTATTTAAAGCCTTTTTATCCAAGGGAGACAATAGAAAGTAATTTAAACATCATGTTTAGAATGCAAGCAGCAACACGATGGTCTATTTTTAGTTCTGGCAAAGAACATATTTTATAAACATAATAAAGAGAAATGGTATTCGTGGTTACCAAAAAATTACTAAAGAAAACAGGCTAGGTGGTATAGTGCTGTAATCTTAGTACACAGGAGGTGAGGCAGGAGAATCTTAAGAGTATGTGCCTAGCCCAAGTTTCGAAAAAGCTCAGAAGCACCAAAACATAAAAATAAAACTGAAAACCCAAGTCTTACACAATTATGGAGAAGAAAATAAGCCAGACACCAACGTTATCTGGACGGAGTCATGAAAGAAAATGATGGGCCAGTTTCTGGCTGATTCTGTCTCTACGGCCCATAGGTGTCACATGGCTTTAAGGTGGGACAGCCTGTCTACAGCACAAAGCTTTTTCACAAGATCTTTTATTTATCTATTTATTTATGTATGTATGTATGTATTTATTTATTTATTTATTTGGGCTTCCCGAGACAGGGTTTCTCTGTGGCTTTGGAGACTATCCTGGAACTAGCTCTTGTAGACCAGGCTAGTCTTGAACTCACAGAGATCCGCCTGCCTCTGCCTCCTGAGTGCTGGAACTAAAGGCATGTACTATCACTGCCTGGCCACAAGATCTTTAGAAGGATACTGAACCAGAGCTTTAGAAAATCATCTAAAATTAACTTTATTTTTATTTTTATTTTTTTGGAGACAGATCTCCCTAATATATCCTTGGATGGCCTAGAACACAGACCAGGCTGGACTCAAACTTGTCATGCTCTGCCCCAGGTTCTACCTCCCTAGTGCTGAGATGACAGCTGTGTGCCACCACATCCAGTGAACACTCTGTTATTTGTTGTTATTTTCTGGTTCTGGGGATTGAACTTGGGACTCAGTGTATGTGGGGTAAGCACTGTAACAGGGCTCGAAAAAAAACAAAAAATTAATTATTTATTTATTATGTATACTATCTTCTGCCTGCATGCCAGCAGAAGGCACCAGATCTCATTCATGGTGGTTGTGAGCCACCATGTAGTTGCCAGGAATTGAACTCAGGACCTCTGGAAGATCAGTTAGTGCTCTAACCGCTGAGCCATCTCTCCAGCCCCCCATATTTTATTCTTAAAGAGAAGCTCTTAAACAGCAAACAAAGTGTGCTGGTTGATATTGTCAACTTGACACAAACCTAGACATGCCTGGGAAGAGGAAATGCCTCCATAAGACTGGTCTCACTGGGCGTTGGTGGCGGATCTCTGTGAGTTCGAGGCCAGCATGGTCAACAGAGCGAGTTCCAGGACAGCCTCCAAAATAATACAGAGGAATCCTGTCTTGAAAAAAAAAAAAAGAAAGAAAGAAAGAAAAGAAAAAAAAGACTGGTCTGCAAGCAGGTCTGTGGGCACTTCTATATTAATGGCTGATGTGGGAGGGCCCAGCCCACTGTGGGCAGGTGGTCCCGGATGGCAGAAGGAAGCTGGTCAGTAATCAGCATTCCTCCATGGTTTCTGCCTCAGTTCCTGCCCTGAGTTCCTGCCCTGACTTCCCTCTGTGATGGAATGGGACCTAAGTATTGTAAGATGAAATAAACCCTTTCCTCCCAAAGTTACTTTGGTCATGGTGTTTTATCACAGCAACATAAACCCTAAGTAAGACACCAAAAAAGCAATGTTCTTCACCTAGCCAAAAGTTTCATATTTTACCTCGATAGTATGCTTTCGTTATTGCATCAAATTCCTCTTGACCTGCGGTGTCCCATAACATTAGCCTGACATCTTCATCGTTAACTCTGAAACAAGAGATGAATTTATTCCATACAAAGTGAAAAATATCAATGTACATTTTTATTTTTCAAACCGAAAGTCTGAAAGCTCTATTGTTGACTTTACTCTGAAAGTCAGAGCAAACTAATTTTAAATGACAGGGCTGTTCCCAATAGTAAAGGTACAGCTAAGACCCTACACTCTGTCTGCCAGTGTTTGCTGCAATGACAGTCTTAGTGGCTCTAAGACAAGCAGACCTGGGAAAGGGGAATCCTGTGGGTCAGATCATTTTCTCCTCTTACTACCCCATTCTAAATGGGGTTTGGTGCCCTATCGATGGGTAAGGATGGGGAGGAAGCAGCCCGCTTGGTGGACCTCTACTTTGTCATGTAGTTGAATCTTACCTCAGTAGCTATGGTCTGCATCACTTTGTCATGCTGCAGAGCAAACCCAGGACCCTTTGCATGCTAGTCAATGCTAGTAACGCGCTTTACCACCGACTTATACCCTCTGCTTTCAAATGTTTCTGTGAATATTAAATTAGCAAAAGCAGAACCACCCTATTCTTGGGGACAATACAACAAGGTCAGGTTCCTCAGCATGATGATGCACACCTGTAATCCAGCATTGGATTCTGAGGCAGGACAATCTTGATTTTGTGTTATAAGACACTGTCTCAAAATGAAAGAAAACGAACTACCAGTTTGTATCATTAATTGACCTAATCATGCTTTATGTGTTTCTACCTAAAGACACCTTATTACACAGTAATTCACTGAGCTCATGTCCAGCAGCAGAGAGTGAGCACTGTAACTGCTGTATGAACAACCCTGATCTAACGCAGTACTCTTCTCCACAAGGCACACACAGCCTTCTCGTACTCAGAAGCACCAGACAGAGCTACAGCTGGGGGCCATGTAGACAGCCGAATCACCCGCACAAAAGGAGAGCGTGAAAAATGTGCACTACACAAAACAGGACAGGTTTATCGTATAAGGGCTAAAACAAGAAGTAACTTCTTATTTGACCACAGCTGGGAAAGTACATGTTGGACACTTCGAATGTTTCTGTAGCCCTCTGTCTATCCAGTAAGTGACCACAAAAGCACTGACTGTGGTTTCAAGTAATTTTTAGCAAGTTGGTGAATTTGCAAACAAAGAGCCTAAGAGTACAGCAGGAAAGATGGCTCAGTGGTTAGAAGCAGACACATGCTGCTCTTACAGGGCACCTACATGTGTAGTCCCCAGACTGATAGCAGGCGACTCACAACTGCCTGTAACTCATGTTCTAGGGGATCTGGTGTCTCTGGCCTCTGCACTCATGTATACATGCCCACCCCCACCACACACTTAAAAATGAAATAAATCTTTTTTTTTTTTTTTTTTTTTTTGGTTTTACGAGACAGGGTTTCTCTGTATTGTTTTGGAGGTTGTCGGTCCAGCCTGGCCTCGAACTCACAGAGATCCGCCTGCCTCTGCCTCCTGAGTGCTGGGATTAAAGGCGTGCGCCACCACCGCCCGGCTCATGAAATAAATCTTTTTAAAAAGCCTATGAATAATGAAAAAAATCAACTAATATCCAAAATATTAATTAGTTTCAGGTACATGTATAAAATATAAATATCGTCAAGACAAAATGAGCCTTCTTGAAGTATGTTTTAAGGAGGCAAACGTGGATGTACCACAAAGGCATATCAGACCGGAATCCACGACGACCATTATCTCTGCTGCAAGTTAGTGTCTGGGCAGTGAGTCAGGTACAATCCATAGGAAGCTTGAAGGCATTCAACAGTACTGACAAAAAGCATCTCTCCCAAGTATTTTAGAGTTAATCTGGATTTACTGAAATAGGAGTTCCTTTCTGTGGGCAAATTTAATACTTCTAAACCTGTCTTCTTTTCTTTTTTGAGGACAAAGGCGTGTTATTATCTCTCTAACTTCTATGCAGTGTTTTTCAGTTTTTTTTTGTTTTTTTTAAGGAACCACTAGGTTTGGTGGTGAGCAAATGTAATTCTGGACATTTAGAAGGTAGAGGCGGAACATCAGGATTCAAGGCCAGACTCTGCTATACAGCAAGTTCAAGGCCACACTCACCTACCCATACTCAAAGAAATAAAATTAAAAGACAGAGACAATGTAAACAAAAGGAATGAAAATTATACGACAGCTGAGATATTCCTTCTAAATAACAGATCAGGCAGAAGTCAGTCAAGGGTCAGTTTGTGTTTGTCAAGTCCCCAAGGTGTCATTAATAAATATAAAACATACAGAAGCGAGAAGGGAAGGAGTAAGGAGGAAAATGAAAAATATTAGAGGAAAGGGGAAAAATTGCAGGAAAAAAAAACAGTCAAAGATTAAAGTATATGACAAAACAGAGCAAAACAAAAGAGCAAAACAAAAACCCTACCTGAGAACTCCCCCAGGTCTGGCATGATGGCACATACCTATAATTTTAGCACTCAGAGACTACGAAGGAGGAGAGCAATTTGAGGCCAGTGTGAGCTACAACAGTGAGAACCTGTCTCAAAAATACAAACACGTGCAGGTGTAGTAGCTGTCTCAAAAATACAAACACGTGCAGGTGTAGTAGCTGAAGGCTGTGTAAAACACGTGCCTGGAGGTAGAAGGAAGAGACTGGGAGTTTAGGCTCATCCTTGGCTACATGGCAAGTGCAAGGCCAATGTGGACAACATAAGGCCTTGTTTAAAAGACTGAGCAAAACAAACAGCCAACAGCAAAACCCAGCCGCACTAGCTGCTACGGGAGCCACCGACACAAGCTCCCTGGCTTGGACAACAAGGCAGTTTCTCATTCCAGTAGAGTCTTAGACACTTTACAAATCAGAACCAAAGGCTAAAACGCCAAGTACATACTGAATCTGTCGCTCCAAAAAGTCAACACCAATAGTTTTCTTGTAGTCTTTTGTAAAAATGCCTTTGCAATATCGCTGAATCATACTTGATTTTCCAACTGCGCCATTCCCTACGACCACCATCTTGATGGCTACTTCCATATCTTCCTCCATCATTTTGAGGGAGAAACCGTTTCTGGACCGGCTCTATTTCCAGGTGATCAGATCGTCTCAGCAAACCTATAACTTAAAATAAAATTATTTTTATCAAGAAACAATCACATTACATTATAGCAATCTGTCCAAAGGCTGAGGCTCCCGATCCACCATTTTCCTTGTTAACCTTAGAAAGGTAAACACTGATCTCTTATCTGCTCAATTGTCTCTTTCACAGAGACAAAGACTTAGCACTGAATTTGAAGTACAGAATTTATTGCTTAGCCTCTCCGTGACTCAGTTTCCTGGCAACAATATCCATCTAACAGAGTTGTTGACCAACGATACGTATGAAAACTTTAGCAATATGTGAGTTACACATGCAAATACTCATTTTATGTAATACAACCCCACACAGTGTAACAACAAATGCATTATTAGAAACAAAACCTGAGAACGACGCTTTTCAACCATAGAGGTAACTTTTTAAAAAAGTACCCCAGAGACATTTTGTGTAATGATGAATAGTCATGTGTCACACTGGGCTCTTGATTAACTGTTTCAGTGCTCACGTTATAATGAGTGCCATACATGTTATCTAATGCTACGGATTCTTTGGTTTGAGATCAGCTATAGTTTATAAGACAAAGTAATAGAATATGTATATTTACGCTAAGAAAGAATAGGAAGCCAATTTTCTATAGTTCTTAAAATGACATGCCTACTTGGTTATTATATTTGGACTCCTGTAGCTGATAACCCTCATTACACAAACTGAATATTCCTAAGTCTTCAAACCTGCCCCATAAATTTGCATGGTCCTAGGAATCTTCTAGAAGTACTTGTAAAGATCTAGTCATACATAATCAGAAACCTCAGAGCAGTAGCCTTTGCACCTACTTTTGAAGAGAAGCATGAGCTGGGCATGGTGGTGCACATCCTCAATCCCAGCGCTCAGGAGGCAGAGGAAAGAAGATCAACCACAAGTTTAAAGTCGGCCTGGTCTACAGTGAAATCAGTCTCAAAAACACAGGGGAAAAAAAACCACACACATAAGGAAAACCAAGAAGCACAAAAGAGCACACGTAGCCCTCCCTCAGGGAGATGCTTGCGCTGCCTCCTTTGGGATCCACCACTGCCCATGTCTTTCAAGGCCATACTTCTCGAAGAGGAACACTGGCTTGCAAGGCAACTAGAGTGAGGTCAGGTGTGCTCACTGTGGTCCTCTTTGCACTGGGCTCTCCTTCCTGGAAATCGTCCTTTCTCAGGTGTCAAACGGGCATTGCAGTCTTAAGACTCTTCTCTTTAGCAAGGGAGGGCGGGGGCTTTAAGCTCAGTGGTAGGGGACATGTTTTTATGCACAGACCCTGGGTTCAACCCCCAGCATCGGACCCTCCTGCCTCTGACAGGGGATTAGGAACTGTGGCCTTCCAGGAAGAAGTGTGTCATGAGCTTGAGCTACAGGCGTGTACCACCAAACCCGACTACCGATAGATCAAATGACAACATCAGCCCTAAAGGCCAAAAGGGAGAGCACATCATGTTGTGGGCACTGAAAGACATGATCTGTCAACACAGAACCGCAACCCAATGAAACCCTTCAGGAGTGAAAGAGGAGTCAGGATAGTTTCTAATCAGGAAAAACCGAGACCATCTGCAGTCTGCGAGGAAGAACAAAAAGAAATTCCCGAGACAGAATCTTGGAATATCAAAAGGATGAACATGGTAGATATAAAAATACTGTGAAATGCAAAAGATGTCTTGTTTCTTTCTTTACACTGTATGTGAAGAAAATAATTAAGACATTTATGATAAGAGAAAGGAATGTAGAAAGAGGATCTTATACAGGAACTGACAAAATGCTAACTCCAATAGGCTTTGACATATACATATATGTGTATATACACACACACTCACACACATATAAAGTAATACCCAGAGCAAACATTCAAAAGCTCCTACATCTATAGATACTAAAGAGCAGATAGAAAAGAATACACTTCCTGCCAAGAATACACTAAGGGGGGGGGGGGGGGGAGATGGCTAAGCAGTTAAGAGCAATGACTGATCTTCCAGAGTTCAATTTCCAGCACTCATACAACAGCTCATAACTATCTGTAATTCCAGTCCCAGAGGATCTGATGCCCTCTTCTGGCCTCCATGGTTACCAGGTGTGCACATACAGTGTATAAATATACATGCAGGCAATCATCAACTTTTTTTTTTAGAAAAATGATTAGAATGCACTAAGTATATGTTTTACCAAGATAGATCATATTCTGAGCCGTCACAGACAACTGCTGTGAGATTGTGTCTCCTCAGAAGGTCAGATGATACATTTATAGAATCTCACCAACATGGCTGCGTATGGATGAGCCAGGCAAGGTCAACACGCAAGGTCAACACGCAAGGTCAACGTCAATAGACATGCTAACATACACTGAGGAAAGCTCACAAGACCTCAACCCTACACAAAGAACTACTGGCAACTAAGACAAGCCGGAGAAACAGTTTTACCAAGAGAAGAGCTCACCAACTGGCTGTTCAATATCAAAAGGTCAGCACTGTAAACAAAGACAAGTGACAATTATATGGCCTCAGTAGGTTGTATTTAGACACACGTTAACAATAATTATATAAAAAGAAGTCATAGATTTAAAAGAAAGCGAGACAGGATCCACAGGAAGGTCTGGAGGGAGGAAAGGGAAGGGGCAAATGGCAAATGATGTGATTATAATCTCAAAAATAAAAATATATCATTTAAAAAAGGGTAAACAAATCTAAAATACTGAAAGTCTTACAGTGTATTCTCTGAACATAATGGGCTCACACCAGAAACCAGTGACAGAATAGATAAGAAAACCTTGATATTTTGAAATGAAAAATACATTTCTGAGGGATCCAAGGATCACAGAAGCCTAGAGAGAAGTAAGTAACTGGATGTGGCCTATGATCCCTGCACTTGTTGGAGCTGAGGCAGGAGGACCCTGCGTACGAGGTCAGCCTAGGCTATATGGCTAGACCCTGTCTCCAGATAGAGAAGTAATATCTAATATAATCTATTACAAGTATACAAGTGTAATAATAGAAAAGTACAATGTGGTTATTTGTGGATGTAGCTACGGCAGGGTAGAAAAAATGATCCAATAGGTAAGAGTGGACATCTCAATAGCCGAAGCTCTTAGCCCCGTGGGGCAGCCGCAGAGCTAACTCTCAGGAGGCCAGGGCAGGAGAGCAAGCTCCACCCTGCCTGAGACCACCCCAGTAGCTTGTCAAGACACTATCTCACAATGAAAAGTAAAAAGAAACCTGGGTTTGTAGATCGGGGGCAGGGCACTTGCCCGGCATGCCCAAGGCCCTAGGTTTAACCCCTAGAATCGTCATAAAATAAAATCAAGTTGAAGAAAATTGCATTGTCCGCTTTTATAGCAGTTTAATCTGAGATCAAGGTACCAGGACACTGGCGAGAGGAGATCCACACCCCCGTGCACGTGGCAGGAGAGAAGCCTCACAGCAGATCCACACAATGGAAAGCTTCGCCTTACACAATAAACTTCAAATGTATCACAAATGCAAACGTACAGCAGCAGAGCAAGTCCATAGGAGAGGATATTCCTGACCAGGTCAAAGAGTTCTTAGACAGGAAACCAGAGGGCACAACATGAGGGGAAAACTGACAAGCTAGGATTCAAAGTGGATCCCAACCTGTAGCTCTCAACCCCTCTGGCAAACCTCTGTCTCCAAAAGTATTTACGTTACGATTCACAACGGTAGTAAAATTACAGTTCTGAAGAAGCAACATGATAGTTTTATGGCTGAGGGTCACCACAACCAGGAACTGTATTAAAGGGTCGCAGCATTAGGAAGATTGAGAACCTCTGTACAAGATGATGGCTCAGCCTGATGCACAAGACTGATACCCAGATTCCACGGTGGCCGGAGAGAACCCGACCCCTGAATGCTGACTTCCGACCTCCATGAGTGCACAGCCACGTGCACACCTGCCCTCACGCACACTTCATCCACATGCACAATCACAATAATGTAATTTCAAAACGTAAAAACATTAACCAGGCGTGGCAGCACACACCTGTGATCCCAGTATTTGGAAGGTGAGGCAGCAGGATCAGAACTTAAGTTCATCCTTGGCCAGAGTGAGTTCCAGGCCAGTAGGGGCCAATGAGAATGTCTCAAACTAACAAAACAAAGCCAAGTAAATAGCAACAAAGAACAGCCCAGAAGGGTGGCGCATGCCTGAGATTCCTGCATTTGTGAGGCAGAGACAAGAGGGTGACATTCAAGACTACTCCATATACGTGTATTTTGAGGACCTTTTCTCAATGTAAACATTTGTTGATTCAAAAGATAATGAATAAGGAAAGTAATGAATAGACAAGACACTGATTAGGAGAAAACATTTTCAAAATACAGATCTGACATAATTGGTATCTAGAGTGTTAGAAAATGCAACCAAGTTAAAAACCAGCAAAAGACGTTGATAGTGCACACACAAAAGTGTTCGTGGCACATGAGTACACAGACATTCAATAACCGTGGCTATTAGTTAAAGGCACATGATACCTACCCAATGACACCAGTGTGTGTGTGGATAAAGAGCAAAGAGGAACAACTGAACTACCCAGCCACTCTGGAATGGTTTTCATAGCTAAAGATACAACTGAAGAACTGATTTCCTATATAATCCCCAAATCTCACATAACGCAATACCATACAGAAATAAAAACTTAAGTTCACACAGAAAGCTGTGGA